CCCCCCCCGGTGACAAGTGTCCTCTTTTTTGGACCTGGAAATACGGTGACCCTAGTGTTTGTGAATGTGGTACTCCTGTGTATTTTTGTGGGTGCCTTTATGCAAATTCAAGAAACCCAGGGTGGGAAACATGCCTGCCCAGGGGAAATAAGAAACTGGGCTGCAGGTGGAGTGAGCAGGTGCTGGAATGGTGTAAAAGTAGAAGCAGGGACTAATAGGAAAGGAGAGGGGTTGAAAAATGGGACAGGATTAGACTCAGGCAGTGGGTGTGGAAGGGGATAAAAAAGGGAGACACTTCCTAATTCTTCCAGCCATCACTAACAGGCTTGTAGCACTTTTCTCAAGGTCTTTCCCACCCCTGAGTAAGCTACTTCCACCTTTAATTTGGCAACCTTCCTGCTCTCCCCATCCTTTCCTTTCTTAACCTCAGAGGTGTACAGAATCTAAGCCTCTGCTTCCCTTTCCCATGCTCCACACCCCTGATCTCACAGGTCAGGGGGAACCCTATGAGGTAAAGTGGCTTGGCATCACTGAGAAATGTCACATATGGAACCACACACAGCCTGGCTGTTCTGGACCCAGAGCACAAGATCAGCCATGCAAGATTAATGGAAGACCACATGAAAGAGGTGGTTGAGAGCAGGGCCATGGGGGATTAGGCAAATAAGCATTAGCCCAATGGTCTGTGTGGGTGGAACACTGCTGAGGGAGATGCAGGCAGCACTGCAGCAGCAGAGGAGTGAGTAATTGTCCACAACTCTTACTGATTTCCCATGTCTCTTGGTAAAGTCGGAAGTCAGACAAATTCTTTGACTGCCCAAGAAACTTCTAGGAGGGGACCTCACTGGAGTCCTCTCTCAGAAGCATACCCAAGATAGCTAGGTAGCTTGGGAGTGTGGAGAATTTACATTATGTTATCTGTTCGAGAGACTAGCCTGCACACAGCCAAAGAAGGGGAACTCTGCTATTTGTAATACCTAATCAGATGACCATTGCTTGGCCAGCAAAAACTAAAAGGTGCCAAGAAACATATCCCTTCTCAAGCCAAACAGAATGCACATATGACTCTAAATACCTCCTTAGAGGATGTAATCGCATCTGAATTTCCTGATAAAGGGAAATGACTAAACTGGAAGCCACTCAAATTTTACAAGCAACAGGAGTCCAAATTTTCTAATATCTGTTACAAAGATGGAAATTACAGAGTTTTCCTTGGCCACCATGGTTATCCTTACAGAAGGGGATATTTTCCTAAAATATAACACAGGTTTAAAAAAGAGGAACACTTTTTTTAAGGGTCTTTGAAGCCTCACCTGAGACTGCAGCCATCACTGCAAGCACCACATGATCACTAAAGCTTGTAGACCCTTCAAGCAATTACAATTTCCATTTTTTTTAAGATCTCATGAGTCCTCCCCTTTGTTACTAACTCATTTGTAGATATAAGGTGCTTCATAGTGCAGTACAGAGTTTTAATTCTCTTCCCAGATGCTATATCAATGGTTCACAGATCATTTTTTTTTAAGCTCATCATGTGCTACATAGAAAAGACAGAATCCAAATTCCTTGGAAGCAGTGGAACACTGGGAAAATCAGTCATAGGCAACAGGCAACTCCAAATGCTTCCTTTCAACTCCCACAAAATGCTCAAAAAGAAGATGAAAGCTACATTTTTTTGTTGAAAATAGTCCCTTTATCTGCAGTCCTGGCTTACACAAAAATAGGAAGGGATTCCAGTTATTGAAGAAACAACTATGGGAACAGTAGGAACAGAGGAAAGCCCACCTAGAGTTTAGGAAACTACTTGACTACCTCGCATCTTCAAGATGACAATTGCAGGACAGGGCTGCCTAGAGTTCTGCTGAGTAGGTGAGATCACTTTCCTTCCCAAGGGGCCAATTTTCATATCAGAAGGTAATTGGCAGTTATTCTTTAAGGCATACACTGGGTTATTTCTGGTTTTCAGGAATTCACTGTATCCACCATGGTCCTGCTGCACAAATCCCCTCCTGGCAGCTGTGACTGCGCTCCAAGGGGAAAGAAGCAAGTTCTGTGCTCGTGCCACACAAACCCCACTCCCAATGGCTCTATGCTTCATCTTCCTTTACATTCATGGAGCTGCATCATCTGCACAGAACGTCACAGCCTTCTACCTCCCCCCGCCCTTCCCACATGCCAGAACAGGAATTTGTGGCACT